AAGTGTTGAGTAACAAAGGAAGTGTTAATATAAAGCGGCATGCAAGATTTACAAGATGCAAGATATGGGGTTTAAAGTGGTTGACTTCGAAGATGTGTAACAATGGAAGTGTTAACAGTGGAAGTGTTAAGAATGGAAATGTTAACAATGGAAGTGTTGAGTAACAAAGGAAGTGTTAATATAAAGCGGCATGCAAGATTTACAGGCGGTTTTTTTGCGTTTTTGCGGGTCCTTGCAGCTAGATTCTAGATTACTTAGAAAAACAGTCTTTTATATATAAAAACAACTATATTACATACAAATAAAAACCCAGCGAAGCGGGTTCTTGAAGCTATTATCAAATATATATTGTAAATAAACATGGCATTTGTTTATGCAATAAATATTTTTTCTCAAATAAAAAATATACACATATTTTTTATGCGGTTGAAAGAGTTATTTTCAGATTCAACGGAATGCTGAACACTATAAAGGTTCAGAACCGCTACCCTGGAAGGTCTTTCAACTCCCAAATAAAAACGTTCTCTCAGTCGCCATATTCTCTACAGAAGAGAAAATCTTTTACCAACGTTAAATATGATTTTTTTTTCTTTTTTTTTTTTCTTTTTTTTTCTTAAAGCAAAATATGAAAACTAACCTGCGAGTAGAGTAGAGCTATAATCTCTAATATTTCAGACTATACAATATAAAAGCCATTAGGTCTTCAATAGAAATCGTGTTAATCACGTTCTACCTTTTGAATGCATAACTTGTAGTTAAACTTCCGAGTAAATAACACTAATAACTGGTCACAGCTCAACTCAACATTAACTCTGGGTACAGTTAGACCCAAAATAGACACTTGCTATTAACATTTTTATACACACGTTGTTTAACAATGTTGGCTTTGTTTTGAGTGTAAGAATCGTTATATATAACTAATTGACTGGTAACTGAAGTCAAACAGCTAGAAACATTGAGCATGTATAAAATGTATTTCACTAACTTATATTAGATTGTCAATAGAACACTGGGAATTGCTGACAGGTGTTTTTTACAAAGACATATTACAGACTATGTGAAGGACACAATGTGTAACATGTCTGCTAGCAGCAAGGCTTTGTAGAAAGTGGGATTCATAAGTATAATACTAGATATAAATCAAATGGAGTGAGTAAATTTTAATCGTGGTTAAAGCAGTGAATACATTAAACTTATATTTGTAATGTACAGTATGTTTAATATAATATAAAATTGCTATTAATTCATAAATTGAAATACTGAATTCAAGAATTTATATACAAATCAAACAATCGTCTTTAATATTATTAATTTCAATCTTTCTAGCTTTACGGAAAATTCATCGAAATTGATAAATTGTGTTCTGCTGATTTACCGTTAGAAACCAAAATGAAGGTAATTCAAATAAATTCAAATTTTTTCGATTGTTCTATAAATTTAATACATTAAAAAACCATTTTATTTCTTTAAAAAGATGCTGAATTTCATGAAAAGATACGGTAAAACTCCATTTGGAATAAGCATCGGCGGATTCTTTTATGTTAAAAAGAACTCGCGTCTTGCATTTTCCATTGTTTTGATAACTTTCGTGGTGTTATTTACGATTTTAAGTTTTCAACTATCACGGTTCTCATCTTCGGTAAGTTAGATTTAAACCTATCTCTTCTTTTTAACTAGATTTAGAAACATTCTTGAAAAAGTAATATTGAAACTTTTATTAATTAAAATGGGATGTTTATAACCTATTTACGAACAATAAAGTAATAATTTATTCCAAGTGTTTTAAGATGAAAAACGGATGAAAAGATGAAATTTTTTCCAACATAANCTGGTAACTAAAGTCAAACAGCTAGAAACATTGAGCATGTATAAAATGTATTTCACTAACTTATATTAGATTGTCAATAGAACACTGGGAATTGCTGACAGGTGTTTTTTACAAAGACATATTACAGACTATGTGAAGGACACAATGTGTAACATGTCTGCTAGCAGCAAGGCTTTGTAGAAAGTGGGATTCATAAGTATAATACTAGATATAAATCAAATGGGGTGAGTAAATTTTAATCGTGGTTAAAGCAGTGAATACATTAAACTTATATTTGTAATGTACAGTATGTTTAATATAATATAAAATTGCTATTAATTCATAAATTGAAATACTGAATTCAAGAATTTATATACAAATCAAACAATCGTCTTTAATATTATTAATTTCAATCTTTCTAGCTTTACGGAAAATTCATCGAAATTGATAAATTGTGTTCTGCTGATTTACCGTTAGAAACCAAAATGAAGGTAATTCAAATAAATTCAAATTTTTTCGATTGTTCTATATATTTAATACATTAAAAAGCCATTTTATTTCTTTAAAAAGATGCTGAATTTCATGAAAAGATACGGTAAAACTCCATTTGGAATAAGCGTTGGCGGATTCTTTTATGTTAAAAAGAACTTCTTAATTCGAGTAAGTTCATTCAATATATTCTTCAACTCATTATTAAACTTCATGTTACAAATATTATTTATAACTAACTACATCTATGCAAATATATTTATAAGTCATTCTTAAAAATGAATAAATACAGAAATTTGTTGATGTATATAATAATTTTTATATGTTATTTTACAGTGTATTAGTGCCTTGTATTCAGCGCTCTCTGTCTTGACTGAACTTCTAATTGCAAAGAAGCCATCTTCTTGTAAAATTAAGATTGGAGACTTAATACAATAACGAAGTTTTGTCTCACAGGCTGACTGGACACTGACGTAAAAGCTTGAATGTAAGCAGACTTAATACAGAAAAATGAAACATTGCATTCGAAAAACGACGACCAGTGTAGACTTGAGAACATCTAAAATCTCGAAAAGTCAACGTGTAACGAAACGTCAAAATTTAACGCTTGACTCTCTCGGAGATTAACACATTTTTTCCTCATTTAATTTAATTTAAATGTTAGCTGTCTAATTTTTTAAAAATTTATTATATCGCTTTGTTCTGATTAAATTTAGATTCGTCTGCCACAAATGTAAAACGTTGTCTCAGAATGAAGCGGAAGAAATTTCGAATGACCCGGCAGAACAATTGAATATACCGAATATTAAAACTGAAAAACAAACTGATGTCAAAGAAAGTTTTCAGTTTGTTCTTTAAACTACAAATTTTCTCTAATCATTGTAATTACGTTATAATAGAGGATATGATTTGAATTGTCAAATCTACCAAATTAAAGACGAACTAATGTAATGTAATTTTTAGAAATGTAATGTCTAGTGAAACTAGTAATAATTAGATTTGATTAGTTTATTTGGTTACGGCAAACAGACATGTGAACGATATGCCAAGGGGATGCCTCCCGGGAGGACTTTAAATGGGTATGCAGGTACTCATATTCAGTTGTTACAAATATGAAGAAAACCTAGAAAACTCCACATGGCCAGCCCGTTAAAGAGACTCGAATCAACGTCTCCTAAAGACTAAAGAGAATTGGATGGTCAGGGTCGAGTTATAAACTCAGTAACGTATCCGTATGACCGTACCGTATTCCGTAAGAAGAGTTTGGATCGATCGAACTTTTAATGTAGGGATACGGACAGTGATGATATTGAGCGGGTTCGCACAGGTTCGGCCGAACCCGTTGTTAACATTTTCAAAGTTTTCCGAACCTTGTTAAACACATGTAACATTTCTCAATGGTTTTGATTCTTTTAAAAACATATTAAAATATACGTATTATACTCTGTAACACTACTAAACTAGAGCCTTCCGATGCACCATTTGAGCGAAAAAAAAATTAAGGAAAAATTTTCTGTTATCGAACCCTTTGTTAAATATTTCGAATATCACCACTGGATACGGAGAATTGACCAATGTCTAAGTCTCCATCAGTCGATATACAATCGGAAGTTGTGCCGGAAACAACCGACGAAACTTTGACAAATTGATTAAATTAAAACGTAACTTTTGATCGACAATGCTGCTTCTGAATAATATAAAATTTTAAGATAAGAATTACTTTATAATATAAAAAAATAGAAAAATAATAAAATGAATAAATGATTATAGTGTTAGATTTGGCAATAACTACCGACGATTTTGCGCGTGCTCACGATTGTAAGGTTTGCCGACGTTGAGGGGGGAAAAAAGTCTATCTCACGTCAGAATGAGCCTAAGGGAAACCGCGTATGTGGGCGGTGGCGAAGGAGGCAAATGATGTACAAGTGTTTTACAAGATAAAACCCGTTTATTTGTTCCAATTCATGCTTACATCAATAATGGACAATTCCAAAATCTCGGTGCTCCTGGGAACGGCGAAAGTTCGTGATCTCGGTCGCAGTTCGGGCAGACGAGAAAGATATCTGGACGGAGCAGAAGTTCGTTGTTACGTTGCGGCGTCCTCGGTGATCGGCGGATGCACAACACAATCTAAATCACCACTGTAGGCTTAATCCGGAGGAGACTCTCCTTCGACCTTGAAGTTCCGATTTTTATAGTTTTTCCCCCACTGTTCGCATTTCGGATTGGTCCCTCGTTCCATTCCTCTTTTGTCTCTTTTGTCTCTCTTTTGTCTCCAGGTGCAAGATGAAACTTTTTCGGGTCGCGGGAAAGGACTGATTCGAGGTGTCCATCTGATACCTCTTTGTCGACTCTGCTCGATGACTGTTTATAAAATAATAACACCTGCACTCATAACTCAGGCCGTTATTTACCATTTTTTGACGTCTAAGAATTTAACGATCATTTTCACCTTTCACCTATAAAAAATTCCTCTATTTTTTGTTCGAAAAGGTTTATATCGGCCAACATTTTATAGACACGCGAGTCAAAGATCTACCTGTTCATGAGCGCTCGTGTTAGAGTTTGTCTTCTGCTAAGACCTTAACAGATAGTTGACACATATTCGAACCGTTCCGAGTCTCGTTGTTTACACTTTGTGTTGCGCAAGAGTCTCACGGTTTACTCGAGTTCGAACCTCGTCTGGGACCCTACACGATGGACTGCTTCGTAAACCGTAACAAAAGTTGTTAGTATGGTTCGGCCAAGTCCAGGATGAAGTGTCCGTGATACGGAAAAGGCCTTACGGTAGTTTACACGGTAACTATTGCTATAGATATCCAGTTTAGCAAATATTTACGAATACGGATACGGTTACGTTACAGAGTTTATAACTCGACCTTCACGTCTTTTTGACGTCACTGGTAGTTGTCCTTATTGCCTATGTTTCAAGAATGCATGTATTGAAGATTTGGAAGATAGCTGCCATCTTAATAAATAATTCATATCCAATCAGAAAGCATTATATAAATTGTAGTAAATAATATTTAAACTAATCTTCACTTTCTTAACGATCTCGATTTTTAAGTTTCAAGACCTCTCTACAAAAATATCCCCGGTATAACAATACTGCAATATTCCTGACCCCCAAAATAGCGTTGTAGTGAGGTTCGACTGTATATCATCTTCAGAGACAACGATATCGTTAGTAATTCAAGTTACGAGTGACAACAGATGGATGGCCGAGTGATCAAGATGGCATCCTACCATTGTGAGAGGGTGCTCGGCTCGAATCTGAACTGCACGAAAATGCTCCAGGAATTTTTGTATGGTGGTGGTCGGTCCGGTTGAATATGTTTGACTCAGTCAGATATTATCCGGTCACTTCATTGTGGACTTGGTCGAACTCATAAGGGGCGTTTTAAAAGAGGCCATCTGAGTGCCCACAGGGAAGAAAGAATTTTAAGAAAAAGTTATGAGTGATTGTGAAATATGTTTGTGTGTGCCCGGTATGGCCACAGAGTTGTAGTTTGGACAGACTAATTTAATGCGTGAAAAGTGCAATGTTAATAAAATAACCTTTAATTTAAACTTTCCTTTAGCCTTTTTACGGATTTATTATTATTATTTGTTGTATTCATCATTAGGAATATTATAGATCTAAGCAAATAGTGATTTAATCGAACAAAATACAAACTTTATGTGAATTAAAATTTTTAACTGTTAATTCACCAATTCGTCATTAAGGCAAATAACTGATTCAGAGTTTGAGCTGGCATTCTGTAATTTGAATATCACATTAATGTGCATTTATGTAATTGGACAACTAGATTGCTGTATACTTGTTTTCGGTGCAGGTGCCGTTATAATCTCGAAAAGATTCAGGTATTTATCTGATGCAGTAGATGAATTCAGAAATGAGGAAAATTTCCTAAAGCCTAAAATTGAAACCTTGATTGAAACGCATTATAATTTATGGACTTATATACAAGAAATAAACCTAGTATGTGAAGCATACATTCCAGCCGTATATTGTTTCGGAGTGTATGAGACAAGTTTCTTTTTTTGTGCACTGTTTTTCTTTGAACTTGACGATGTAATGCGTCTTGCACTTTCTGTATCGTTGGTAAGTTTCATCGTCTGTTTTACGGTTGTATCTTTCCAACTATCTCGGTTCTCATCTTTGGTAAGTTAAATAAAACCTATTGTTTCTTATTAAGTAGCTTTCGAAATATTCGTCAAAAATAACATCGAAATATTTGTCAAAATAAGATGAAATTTTAATAATATTCATAACCTATTTCTGAACAATAAATTAAAAGGTTATTTTAGTTTAGGGTTTCTTAATATGATAAACAAATGAAAACATAAAATATTTTACAATGTAATTAAATGAGAAGAGCGTTACTTTCTGGAACGAAAGTATGTTTTATACGTAAGCTTGTTCAATAGGCAGTTATAAGTTTAACATTTTTTTCACAAATGAATGCAGAGGTGTTCAAATTTTCTTCCAATATCAGTAGAGAAAAAGGTGATTTTATGGAACACTGCGGGTATTATTGAACTGTAATTTCTTTCGAACTGATAATAAAAGCGAACCGTAGCCGATTGTGTCTGAACTGCATTAAGCACACATCCATAGCAAGGGGAAAACCCGTTTCACTTCAGTTAAACGGTTGTCCGTAGTGAATCAGGAAATTTGTGTTTTTCAAAATTCGAAACTTTTTTTATGATAAGTAAATTTATTATGTCTAAAATATAAATCGTGTAGTTGTAGGTTGACTGGTGCATGTATTCCGTTCCAGAGACTTAGGGGTACATATTAATCTGTGTGATGTTCGCGTTTTTCAAAATTTGGTCTTGACAGACATATGTTAATTCAAGATGGCGATGTCATTGGTGCTTTTAATATGGAACCCAACTCTAACGAACTCTCTCTTTGCAAGCAGATATTTGTTCGAAGCAATTTGTGAAAAAGACATTAGGTAGAAAACCAATTCTTCCTGAGAATATCGAAAAAGAGTTGCTGGAATATATGTTGTTGATGAAAGTCATATTTTTCTATTATAAAAGCATTTTTTAAGATTCTTTGTACTTTCCTATTTGTTTTTGGATACATTTAAGCATTTTTTGAAAACATACAGTAAGGTTCCATATTACCACCTGGTTTTTCCTAAGTCTACTTTCTGACTTTTTGTACAGAAGCTTTCAAAAACTATATTTATAGTTATACTAGCGAAAAATCCAATTAGGAATATTTAGTTTAATAGTTACCAATAATTTTCGCACAAATTATGTTGATGTAGTTATGATGCCTTGTTTACAATTCACTAAAATAAAAATGAGGTTCTATAATACCACCTTTTCCTCTAAAGTTATTATCTAAAGCCACTTTGTTTCAGATAATGATTCGGAATTTCGTTCAATATTCATACGTTTAATTTCAATTTTTCAAGCTTTACGGAAAATTCATCGAAATCGATAAATTGGGTTCTGCTGAACTACCATTAGAAACCAAACTGAAGGTAAAACAAATTGTATCGATTAGTCTATAAATATAATATATTAAAAAGCTATTTTCTGTTTTATATAGATGCTAAATTTTATGAAAAGATTTGGTAAAACTCCATTTGGACTAAGCGTCGGCGGTTTGTTTTATATTAAAAAGAACTTCTTCATCCGAGTAAGTTTATTCAATATATTTTGTTACATTTTACTAATCTTCTACAAATATCGTTTAGTCTATAACTGCATGCAAAACTATTTGTATTCGAAAATGTCGTATTAATTATAGAATCTTTTTATGTATATAATAATTTTTAGATGTTATTTTACAGTGTATGAGTGCCATATATTCAGCGCTGTCTGTCTTGACTGAACTTTTAATTGCAAAGAAGCCATCTTCTTGTAAAATTAACATTGCAGACTTAATACAATAACGAAATTTTGTGTAACAGG